CACATGTAGATTAAAAGTAAATGAATTAAGCTTCAGCCTGTTTTGCTCAGTGGATAGAGCATTAGCCCTTGGACTGAAGGGTCCCAGGTTAGATTCCAGTCAAGGACATGTGCCTCAGTTGCTGGCTTGATCCCCAGTCCTTATCAGAGCATGTGCAGGAGGCAACCAATCAATGTGTCTCTCCCTTTCCCTTCACTCTCTCTAAAATTCAATGGAAAAATATCCTTGGGTGAAGATTAACAAAAACAAAGTAAATGGATTAACTAACATTAAAGACATTATAAGAAAAATATATTCCAAATTTTGTTAGCTGTATAATGGTTATGTTTAAATTATTAACACCTAAGAAATTGGGTGAAGGGTACATATAATATGCTGTAGTATTTTATAGTTTTTTTACATGTATGAGATTATTTCAAATTAAAATATTAAAAAATTAAAAATCAATAAAATATTAATTGAAATGTATCTGCATTACATGAAAAATCTCCTAATTGCTTCTAGCACAATTTATTAAATTGTGCTAAAATTTACAAGGGTTCAATTAAAAAATATCTTAATTCTAAATGATATAATAGAAAATATATAATAGTGCAATTATAATCACTTGTCTAAAAATAAAAATTTAAAGAAGTGAATTTAAAGAAGGGATTAGCCAAAGAAAATATATGCACAACCCATGGACACAAACAACAGTATGGTGGTGGCCAGAGAGAAGTGGGGGGCAAGAGCTGGGTAGAGGAGGCAAAAGGGGGGAAATAGGGACATCCTATATCTACACTAATAAAAGAGAAACATGGTAATTAGCGTACGACCGCTACCCTTCCCATTGGCTAATCAGCATATCCTTATGCAAATTAACTGTCAGTCAAGATGGCGGCCGGCAGCCAGGCAACTGGAAGCGAACATGAGGCTTGCTTGCTCCAGTGACTGCAGACTCCAACGTTCCCCGCCTGACTTGCCAGCCTCTGAGCTGGCAGTTTGAAACATTCTAACAAATATAGAAGGCCGGGATCTCAGAGCTGGAGTTATACATTGTTTCGATTATAGAACGCTCAGCAGCGGAAGCCTCAGAGCTAGAGCCAGAGCTAAAGCTGGCCCAGAATAAAATAAAAAAAAGAGAAAAAAAAGGAGCGGTTGGGAGCTTCAGTCAACAACCACCAGCCTGAAAGCAGCCCTCAGCCCCTCACCCAGACTGGCCAGGCACCCCAGTGGGGACCCCTACCCTGATCCAGGACACCCTTCAGGGCAAACCAGCCGGCCCCCAGGCCTCTATCCTATATAGTAAAAGGGTAATATGCCTCCCAGCACCAGCATCAGCGGATCTGCGAGGCTCCCGGCACCGGGATCAGCGTGACAGGGGGCAGCGCCCAAACCCCCTGATTGCCCTGCGGCTCTGTGTGTGACAGGGGGCGGGGCCACAACCTCCCTATCCGCCCTGCTCTGTTCGTGACAGGGAAGGCGCCCCAACCCCCTGATCAGCCCTGCTCTGTGCCTGATAGGGGGGAGCGCCGCAACCTCCCCATCGACCTTGCCTTGAGTGTGACAGGAGGGCGAGTGCCCCACCCCCCATCGGCCCTACCCTGAGTGTGACTGAGGATGGCATCGCAACCTCCCAATCTGCCCTGCTCTGTGCATGACAGGGGGCGGCGCCCCAACTCCCCAATCAGCCCTGCTCTGAGCCCGACCAGGGACTGCACCTAGGGATTGGGCCTGCCCTCTGCCACCCAGGAGCAGGCCTAAGCCCGCAGGTCGTTATCTCCTGAGGGGTCCCAGACTGCGAGAGGGCACAGGCCGGGCTGAGGGACCCCCCCTTCTCCACCCCGAGTGCACAAATTTTTGTGCACCGGGCATCTAGTAATAATAATAAAAAGCTAATATGCACATTGACTGAACGGCAGAATGGCCGGTTGCTATGATGCGCACTGGCCACCAGGGGGCAGACGCTCAATGTAGGAGCTGCCCCCTGGTGGTCAGTGCACTTCTATATGGGGAGTGCCACTCAGCCAGAAGCTGGCTCATAGCTGGCCAGCGCAGTGGTGGGGGCAGGAGCCTCTCCCACCTCCGTGGCAGCACTAAGAATGTCCAACTAACGGTTTAGACCCGATCCCGTGGGGGCCTAAGCTTTTAGTCAGACATCCCCTGAGGGCTCCCTGGCTGCCAGAAGGATGTCTGACTGCAAGCTTAGGCCTGATCCTCCAGGGAGTGGGCCTAAGTCAACAGGTGGACATCCCCCAAGGGGTCCTGGACTGCAAATGGGTGCAGGCCAGGCTGAGGGACCCCCCTCCCCCTGAGTGCACAAATTTTTGTGCACCGGGCCTCTAGTCCTATATAATAAAAGGCTAATATGCAAATAGACCAAATGGTGGGAGGACCAGTCGCTATGATGCACACTGACCACCAGAGGGCAAACACTCAATGCAGGAACTGCCCCCTGGTGGTCAGTGCACCAGAAGCCAGGTTCACAGCTGGCGAGCACAGCTAAGGATGTCCAACTACTGGCTTAGTGGGAGTGGGCCTAAGCCAGCATTCGGACATCCCCTGAGGTCTCCTGAACTGTGAGAGGGCGCAGACCAGGGTGAGGGACCCCCTTACCCCCTGAGTGCATGAATTTCATGCACTGGACCTCTAGTTAGTATAGATTGTTTTATATAGTGTATTGTTTTGATGAGCTTACAGGAAATAAAGGAAATCCCCTAAGGAAAATAAAATCTGTAAGTCTCTGGCCGTCCAAAAATTCTATGACTTCACCTCCTGCTATTCTCCCTTTTACTCAGAACACCCATCCACACCAGCCTTCTAGCCATTTCTTTAACACACTCCTACCTTTGGGCCTTTGCTCTAGCTATACTCACTATTTGGAACTTGTCCCTTATCTCCAATGGCTAATTCCATTGCCTCCTTCAAGTGTTTTCTCAGATCTCTTTTCAAAAAGTCTACCCTACTAATATTCCAATTTGTACTCCTGTCCTATCAGGATACTCTCAATCCCCCCTGTACCTATTCTACTTTTTCTTTTCCCATAGCAAATATCACTTTCTAATAGATAATCACTTAAGCTGTAAGCCTCAGGCTAGCAAGAACCCTTGTCTGTTTACTTTGTCTGTTTACTTTGTCTGTTTATCGCCAAAGCTTAGAATAGTGCCAGTGCACTGTAGCTGCTCAATTGACATTTGTTGAATGAACAAATAAAAGAATGTATGGCCCAGCCCGGTTGGTGTGGTGCAAAGCTTGAGTGTCTGTCCAGGAACCAAGAAGTCACTGGTTTGATTCCTGGTCAGGGCAAATGCCCAGGTTGTGGGCTTGATTCCCAGTAGGGGGGTGCAGGAGGCAGCCAATCAACGATGTTCCTTTCTCATCAATCCTTCTATCTCTCTATCCCTCTCCCTTCCCCTCTCTCTAAAAATAAATAAAAATATATTTTAGAAAATAATAAAAGAATGTATGACTAGATATGGATGTCTCTTTCCTTACTCTCCTTGGTATAATTAGAGCTTCTTATATCTATGAATTTATATATTTTATCAGTTCTAGAAAATTCTCACCCAATAACTTTCAAATATGACTGATAGACATTAGGGCCTACTGAAGCTATTGTCTATCCCTCTTAGCCACATGATCATATTTTGTCCCTGTGCCACATTCTGCTCTATTTTGGGTAATTTCAGTTCATTAATTCTCTAATTTGCTATTTAATTTATCAATTTAATTTTAATCTAACAACTAATTATTTTATTTTGAAAAGTTCTACTTAGTTCACCTTCTAGTCTAGTCTTATCTCTCTCTCTCTCCCCTTCACTTTATATCTACAAAAAAAAAAAAAAAAAGATCTGTTGGTTTATAGTTAGGGGTTCAAAAAGCTGTGTGTGGTGTGTTTTTTTTTTTCATTATTTCTGGGACATTTCCAATGGACCTAATCCAGACCCAGTGGTCATTAAAATTAGTGGACCTCTTAACTCCATTTTCTTTTTACTACCACTTTATCTAGATCATTTAAACCTCAGAGGGAAGGTGGGGGAGGGTAGGGGTAAGGCGGAGAGATCAACCAAAGGACTTGTATGCATGCATATACGCCTAACCAATGGCCACAGACAACAGGGAGGTGAGGGCATGAGTGGGGTGGGGGTTAGGGGGCAATGGGGGGGATGAGGACACATATGTAATACCTTAATCAATAAAGAATTTTTTTAAAAAAGAAGTCATTATAGAGTCTAAAATATAGAGTTTGGGAGAAAATATGGTTAGTCCCTGTTTGCCTTGCCTAGACACAAACTTTGATAAGAATATGCTTTAGATGTTCCATGAAGACATGACTTCACTATCAAAAAAAATTTGAAAAGGGCTTTTTTTTTCAATTTGAATGAATTTTTAAATTTGCCTTTTAAGTTGATTATATATTCACATGCTTCAAAGTTCAAAAAGTATGAAGTTTATACAGTGAAGATTTTCCTTCTCATTCTATTCTGTGGTCACTAAATTTCTCTTCCTGCAAGCAAAAAATATTATATTTCTGTGTATCCTTCCAGATTAAACTTGTAAGTCAAGGCCCCACTGTATAAATTGTTCTTATTGTACAAGTTATAGCAGACATTTTGTCATTTTGTACCTTGCTCTCTTCACCTAACAAAAGATCATAGAAATTATTTAATATCATTAGACTTTCTCCTCTTTATAAGGGAATACGGTATTCCACGGTACAAGTATACCATAACTTATTTAACCAGTCCCTACTGATGGGCATTAAGGTTGTTTCTAGTCAATAGGACATTTAAAGCCAGATGTTGCCACAGTCATCCAAACAAACACTGAAAACTCTGATATTGAATATAGTAGCATATTTAGACTATTAGACCAACATAAAATATTTACTATGTAAATATGAATCTTGCCTTTGTAGAAATAACCATGCTGATCAAATGCATGTAGATGTGTTGTAAGTGTCTAACTTACATTTCAGAAAATAACATTTTATATTAGTCTTTTTTTCCTTCTTTTTCAAGGAATATGGCACTGTTACCAGCAGTACAGGAATCTTCAGGAACGCCCCAATTCTCACTTAACTATATATGACCTCGGAATTCAGACTGATATAAGCATGTACTTACAACTGAAACAAACATGGTTCGCATTTAGTGAGTGGATTTTAAAAAGTGGTTTTGTTAAAATTGTAATAATGAGAAAGCATATTTTTGTCTAAAGGAAAGCTTGGGTTGGTGTAACCTGTTGGACACACTTATCATTAATATCATTAAAGTAAATGTGTTTATAATTCTACTAGCTACAGTAAATGGAAAAGTCATTGAGTGGAATTTATCCTATAGTCTAAGGAAACATTATTTGACAATGATTTCAAGTTTTTGCCTTTAACTTAAAATGCTTTGGATGTAGTTGTTTATAGCCATTAACCTGATATTCAAGAAAGGTATTTTAAAAGGAAACAAATGCTTGATTTTTCAAACTTGTTTAAAGAAAAGAAAAAGGGGATAAAAAATAAAATGTTTATAACAGGAATTTTAAACTATTTATTATAGGAATTGGAATAATAAGTAAATAAATTTATATTTTGAACTATTCATTCAGATTATCAAATTCATTAAGGGTCATATTAACAAAATTTTAAAGCAAGATGATTTCAGAGATGGCTTTAAACCTATATTCCTAGAATGGTTTTATTATAATATTCTTTGCACTTCAGAGATTCATGTGCTTTCATCAAAATTTTTTTAAATTCTCTAATTACATATGGCTTTAAAAGAAAATTCATCTTTATATTGTTGAAGTTTGAAAGCCAAGTAAGAAATGGTCAAGGAAGCTTGGTAATGGAGCCCAGGGGCTCAGAGGGGTCAGTGTCTTGGTGGGCATCCTGATTCCAGGTCCGGGTCCCATCCCATAAATTTGATTTTGCCGTGCCACCTAAAAGCCGTTAGGCTTTTGTATAGGCTCACATAGTCGCCAGAGTGCCATTTTATTTGTTTATACTTTTAGGTTTACACTATTTTTTTTTACACTCTCCCTGACTGTCCTGGACACTTCTTTCCTGGGGTCAAAGCATATGGGACCAAGATTGCTAATGAGGAGCTTTTTGAGCAGAGGGCCTCAAATAGCTTTGAGAGCTGTTTCCTTCAGGCCCATGCCAAGCTTGATGACCTCGCCCTGCTGCACAGAAGCCCCCACCAGATTCCTTTGTCTACCCAATGGAATTGTTCTCTTTTCCTTGGTCTTAGTCTTATTTCATTATTTATTTTTATTGATTTCAGAAAGAAAGGGAGAGAGAGAGAAACATCAATGATGAGAGAGAATCACGGATTGGCAGCCTCCTGCACACCCCACATTGGGGATTGAGCCAATCTTGGATTGTGTTAGGAAACAGTTGTATTTTCATTTCTACTCTTAATTATCCTAGTGCCCAGGCATGTGCCCTGACCAGGAATCAAACCATGACCTCCTGGTTTATAGGTCGATGCTCAATCACTGCACCACACTGGCTGGGCTGTTCTCTTTTCCTTGGTCAGTGCTGGATCAGAACACCAAACCCTTGCTCTTTGGCTTCCCATTTCTGGCTCTAATCACACTAGTTCTCTTCACATAACAAACCCATTTTTTTTCAACTATGTTGCCGAAGAATTGTTTCATTTATAGTCATTTTTAACTGTAAAAATCAGATATCTTGGAATTTACATCCCCATCTAATCACTTTCCCTGAATTTGAAGTGATTATATATCTCCTCAGCAACCCACTTACTGTTAGCTATCATTTCTAAAGATGACAAATCTCATCCATTATGTATTGAAACCCTCACATGAATCTTAGTTACAGGTTCTGTGGTCCTCCCACTGCTGTCCCTTAAGGACCTCAGCACAAATATCATTGACTTTATCAGAATCTGCTATTGGAAAATTAAGAGATGGACTTTGAGGAAAATACAGAGCTTGCTTTTATTTTCAAGTCTAGAAATGCTAAGTTTTCCTCAAATGAGCCTCAGCTTTCATAATCCAATTATCAGATATTAATTGATGACTTGTGTTTGGACAAAGTTCTAGGTGCCAGAGACAAGTGCATACATTTGATTACATGAATTGACAGAAACAGTTATACAAACAATAATATAATTTTTATGAATCTTGGATTGTGTTAGGAAACAGTTGTATTTTCATTTCTAATATTAATTATCCTAGTGTCCTCCTCTGTGAAGTTATAATTATACCAGCTTCTCTATAGGGTCTCAAAAAATTGTGTTTATATTGTTTTTTCTCATTCAAACACAAGGAATGTATTATATAAATTCAAAAGACAGTTAAAATTTCTCTAATATAACCATTTTGAACATGTAATTTCATAAAGGTAGAGGTTAATATGCAGTGTTCTTATCAATGCAATTTCGAATATAAAGCAATTCTGGTAGATCTCATATTCTTAAGTTTGTCCAAAGAATATAATGATTTTAGCTTATTATGGCTATATTCCACAATTCTGGGCTCATTTTTTCTATTTTAAGAGAATCAAATGTGCATGAAAACATCAATACACAGTTTAACTAAAAAAAGCTATAGTAGCAAAGTGATACATTACTGAGATATTCCCACTTACTTGGAAATACTAAATGATATGTGATGTAACATCAGAATATTAGTGGTATAAGAGTAGGATAAAATAATGAGTGCCCTGTCAGTGGAGAGGTGTTCATGCATCAGCAGAATAACTCTCTAGGAAGTGTGTTATGGAATAGATTCTTTCACAGGTGGAAATTTTAATGAACTTTCCATTAAGTTTCTTTTGTAATTTCAGATTGCTATTAGCAGTGATATATTTTCTTAATTTTGAGATCATACCTTTTCACTTTTTAGCATCTCTGAAGTCAGGATGCATCTTATAATTAATGAACAGATATTTAATGATGGATTTCTTTACTTTTCCTAAAAAGATATTACTAAATTAAAGGTATGTTTCAGAATTGAGGAAGTATAGTAATTAGGACTATTTGGCTTCAAATAAAAAGAAAGTAATTCAAGATAGCTGAAAATAAAATAAAATTGGAGCAAGCTAGGGCCAAGGCAGAGGTATTTTTATAAGAATGTATAAGTATCTTGCCAAACTAAAAAATAAAACAGAAAGATGATTTCAAGTGTACCTAGATCCAGGAAACAAAAGCCAAAAAAGAACCCAAGATTTCTTTCCCCTCCTCTCTCTCTCTGTCTCTACGCATACACTTTATTCTTTCTTTGCAGATTTATTTACCTCACATGAAGATAGTTTTGACATTGTTTATTAAGTTTGCATAACTCTTAGTTCAAGAAATTTATAAACTAACTCAAAACTGACCTAGAATATCTTAGTCCTAATTCTGAGACTTTTATTAGATGGACTGTTTAAAACTTGATACCATCAATGGTGGTCATGTGGAGTCACAGAATAAAAATGTGGGCAGCCACAAGCTTGCTATATAAATCTGCAAGGTCAATTAATTAAGAGGCATTGTGCCCCAGCCAGTTTGGCTCAGTGGATAGAGCCTCGGCCAGAGAACTGAAAGGTCTCAGGTTTGATTCTGGGCAAAGGCACATACTTCGGTTGCAGGCTTGCTCCTGGGCCCAGCGGGGGCACGTGCAGGAGGCAACCAATTTATGTGTCTCTCTCACATCGATGTTTTTCTCTTACTGCCTCTCCCCTCCCTTCCACTCTGAATGGGGGAAAAATATTCTCGGGTGAGGATTAGCAACAACAACAAGAAAAAGAGGCATTGTGAGCAGGGCAGATAAAAAGTTTCTTCTGTAATGATCTCTTACTCAGTGAAGTTGAAACAGGGGGTGAGGGTGGGGGTGAGGGTGAGGGTGAGGGCAGGATTGGGGGGATGAGGGGATATTGGGGGGGATAAGGACACATTTGTAATATCTTAATCAATAAAGGGGGGGGAAGTGAAACATTTAAGAGTTGCCTAAGGCAGCCCTTCCTTCCTTCCATGCCTGTTTTCCCATTTCTACAAATGGCATGAAATGTTTCCATACATAAAGTCTGTCCGGTTGAGTTGTTCAAACTTCAGCTAAAGGTTTTCATCTAGATTTCTTAGCATTTCTTGTGGGTTTTGAAAGTGAATTTCTAAGATTGGCTGAAACAATGAAGTGTCTGAGTTGGCAGAAATAACCATGAAGCCCAGTCCTAACTTCTGCAGAGGAAGTTTGTTTTGGGGATTGATCTGTGCTGCACACTGATTTCTTTTTCTGTTTAAAGTGGTAATCCTCAGCATCCTTGAAGTGCTTGTCATCCTCCTGCTGATCTTCCTGAGAGACCGGATCCGCATCTCCATCGCCCTCCTGAAGGAAGGGAGCAAGTAAGACCCTGACGGAAAAACTCGCCTAGAGTGTATTTGTCAGCCCAGCCAGGCACTGCCTATTGTGTAGCTGCCCCAGACTAATTTCCCTTTAAGAACACTTGTTAAAGAAATTTGCTTTCCCTTTAAGATGACTTGTTTGAGATCAGACAGCCAGTTATTAAAAGGTCATGCTAATATGTCCTTCAATATTCCCTAAAACCTCAATTATCATGGGGTAAAGTAAGGTTAAAACCTGTCTAGTCTATATATTAGCACGTTTTTAAAACACCAAATATATGGTAGGAGAATAACATATGTGAAACTAGGCAATAAAGTGCTATGTAACAGTTATATTGCATGTTGTATTGTTCCCATACTGAGTCACATATTAATATTAATGGCCGAGATCATTTGCAGAACTTTAAACCACCATTATTCTAGAAAGTCAATTACATACTATTACCATTGCCATATGAATGACAAAATTTGCCAATAGAAAGAATAATTGATCCTAGCAGTACTAGACTATATATTTTGTACCAACACCTCTTAATTTAGAAAAACTTTATACTCAGAGCCATTTTTATTTTTAAAATGCTATAAAATAAACACTAAATTTTTCATAAATTCATGCTGGGATATAACACCTACAGTTTCCAAACTATTCCAAAAGGTGACTTGAGAATAGTACTTTAGACTTTTGAATGATGCATGGAAGAAACAAAGAAAGCCCACAGATCATACTCTCTATTTAAGATGATGGAAACTACGTTGTTGATGACTCAGGACAAAATTATCAAACTTGCAGTTTGATAAATTAAATTCTCTCTCCTTCCACAATAACGGAAGCCCTATCATTAGTCACTGAAAACTACTGATTGTCTGGATTTTTAAGATTATATGATATTGTGCAATTCACTGTTACTTGCCCCCCTGTTATGCCTCTTAATGTGTATATGTGTGTGTGTGTGTGTGTGTGTGTGTGTGTGTGTGTGTGAAGGGGCCAATACAACTGTGACAGGTTGATAGTTCAAGGAAAAAAAAGAGTTGGAATAAATGTGTGTGCATATACAGTAAACAAAGGGATGCTCAATAATTCACTTAACAGTAGTGTCTGGAGAAAGGAAACAACACTGTAGCTCAACCAGTGATGTGGAGAAGGTAATAAATTAAAAAAGAATCTAAGATGTTTCAATTCATTAGGAGTGGAAATAGTTCCACCAGAGTTCTCAGTGGCTATATCAAACACTGCTGGATTTAATCCAATGTCATATACTGCAAAGATCGCTCGAAAGTAGTTAGGGGCAGGGCAACTAGTGACCATTTCAGAAACTATGTCTTATGAGGAAATATCACAAGAATGATTATCCTGCAGAATAAAAGGATAAGTTACTTGGAAGGAGTACTGTGTTAAAAGGTGGCCATTTCTTCTCCAGAAGGCAGTGGATGTAAATTACAGGCAGGCAGATAAGGAAGCATTTTCTAATATGTTGGTAGGAAGTAGAATAAGTTGTGTCATATACAAGTAATTTGCTATAAGTGTGGTCACCAGAGGCTTATGACCATATTTTGAGAGAGTACAAAAAAGATTCCCGAATTAGGGAGTGATTCACACATTTGATGAGATGATTGTCAAAGTCCTCTTCAATTTTAAAAATCTAAGAATCTAATCAAAAGGAAGAAATGTTATGATTGTAATATATCAAAACTTTATGAGAAATAAACAAAGAAGAGAAAGTTTGGGGAAATTTGATCAGGAGTCAAACATGAGCATTAAAATAATGTCTCTAACTTACAATCAATCAATCAATCAATAAACTTAAAAACCAACTAAGAATATACCAGCATGATCAGCCAATGAGAGTTACTAGTTATGACCACTGTTCTTAGAATTAATCTAGTCTAAGTCTTATTTCTAGTTCTAACAAATAAAAATTTATTAGAGAAATTATAACACTGGATCATTTTGAATTTCAACTATTTGTTTTATTTCAGAGCCATTGGATATGTCCCTACTACATTAATTTATCCAGTTTTTACTTTCTTTTTGCTCTCAATCTGTATTTGCTACTGGGCGGTGATAGCAGTGTATCCTTTGGTAGTTTATCAAGTTGAACCTCAGGTCACCCACTATTCAGGAACCAGGAGTTCAGTGGTTTTCATCCTGGGAAGATTAGGAACATCCTAAAGAAATAACTGATTATTTTTTTCTGCCAAACTCTGAAAAGGTGTCGGTGTCCCAATTGCATTTCCCCTTTTATAGGTCAGATGGTCGATTTTGTTTTATTTTGTCTTCACATATCATTGGTGATAACCTTAAAAAGCTTCTATATATTTCACTGTTTTTAAGAGGCCTCTCAGTGCAGCTGATCCATGTTATATTACTCTGGGTCTGAAGAATGGATTAATTATTAAAATGTTAGAACTTATTTGAAGTTAATCTCTCAAAAGATATTTAAGTTACTTGCATTTTTTCCATGTCTATTTATTTTCAATTTACCAGCAAATAATTTATCCTTAATAGAGTTTATTCAGTTACTTGGCTACATCAGGGACACCCATATACAAAGTCATAACCCCAGAGGGGAAATGTAAATATGAAAATAGAACCTGTGACCCAGATGTAAGTAAAAGAAACTCTCTCTTCTTTAACTTCCATACAGATCACTACTACATTTCACCTAGCAGTTGTAGGAGTCATCCTGAAATAGAGACCCTGTATAGTGAGAGGGGTCACTCTGGAGAAGGGGAGAGTGGGTCAGGAGTTAGCAGGAGAACACTGCAAAAGGTGGGGGGAGGAGGGGAAATAGAAGGAAAGCTCTATTATTTCCTGATCTCATTTGTTTTATCATATACCCAAGAAGCAGGTATTGTCAACAACCTCACTAATAAATGTGAAACTAAAGGGGGTGAAGAGGGATGAACATAAGATAGAAAAGGAAAGATACTTTTCAGAGCTCATTAAAGGATTCTATAAAGTGATGTGATTGAAAATAGGAACAACAGCAGAAGCTCATGGAAAAAGAACAGGACATGCAACTGGAGGTGGGGGTGGGGGTACACAAAACAAAAGGCAGGGTGGGTGTTATCTTACAATAGTATTTACTATTCTATTATCCATGTTGTTTTTCTCTGAGTGCAGATTTTTAACACAACGGAAATGTCCAGAGCTTGCCCTGGTGCTCAGTGTAACTTTGCTTTTTATGGTGGGAACAGCCTGTACTACCAATACATCTCTACCTTCCAGATATTCAATCTATTTATCTTTCTCTGGCTGATAAACTTTGTCATTGCATTGGGTCAGTGTGCCCTTGCTGGTGCCTTTGCTTCTTATTACTGGGCCTTGAGAAAACCTGATGACATCCCACCATATCCACTTTTTACTGCATTTGGACGAGCCATACGGTAAGTACCACATTGAGCCCCACGTCTATTTTCCAAATTATGTTTAATGTACTTATAATTCAATCTTGTGCTTATCATTCAAGAGGTGAGATACAAGTGAGCTCAAAAGTGTGATTCAAGATTTATAGATGTTCATTGGCTCTGTCTGGTTTTATAGCCACAACTTTATACTCCCTGCCCAGGCCACTATTCCTATTTTTCTAAAAATAATAGGTTACAAGAGAGAAGAGGTAGGGGAGGAAACCATATTAAAGATTAAGGATTAACTTGGCTCTGTCTCTCCATTGCTCAGATCAAACATCTTATGCTGACAGGCTATTAGTATCATTTTTGTAGATAAAGACAAAATATATATGTATGTTTTAAAACTCTAAACCTTCACCAATCTGGATAGGAGAGTGTAAGACAGTGATGGCGAACCTATGACACGCGTGTCAGAGGTAACACGCAAACTCATTTTTTTGGTTGATTTTTCTTTGTTAAATGGCATTTAAATATATAAAATAAATATCAAAACTATAAATCTTTGTTTTACTATGGTTGTAAATATAAAAAAATTTCTATATGTGACATGACACCAGAGTTAAGTTAGGGTTTTTCAAAATGCTGACATGTTGAGCTCAAAAGGTTCGCCATCACTGGTGTAAGAAGCTCTTTCCTATCAGTTCCCCTGCACATCCCTTTTACCTAAAAAACTGTTTAACTAACATCCTTTTAGTTAATAGTAAAGATATCTTAACGTTACTCTCATTTTATCTTTGCCCAGATATCACACAGGATCTCTAGCATTTGGATCATTGCTTCTTGCATTAATTCAAATGTTTAGGATAGCCCTAGAATACTTGGACAAACGTATTAAAGGTAAGATTCCGGAATTCATCTTTTCTCAGACTTTCTGACTTTTATGAAGAGTATAGATTGGGCAGGTGGTTGCAGGAAACATGATGACTGTCACCAGGGTAGTAAGGATGGAGGTGGTCAGATTGGGGATCTATTTGGAAGGAAAGGCCAACAGGACTTGCTGAAAGGTTGGGTATGGTTAGGGAAGGATGTGATGATATTTACTAAGATGTCAAAACCAGGAAAAGCAAATTTCAAAGAAGAGATTAACAATTGTGTTTGTGACATGCTAATATTGAGAAGCATGCTGGAGTTGTCAGGTAGTTTCAAGTCTAGAGCTCAGTACAGGTTGGGCTTAAAATATAAATGTGGGAGTCATTCGCATAAATCTTCATACATGACACATATAGCTTATAAACATATAAACTCTGTTTAGAATGCACTTCGAAAAATTATTAAATGCCAAAACAATCCTGAAACAGAACAACAAATTTGGAATGTTTACATTTTCTGATTTTAAAACTTCATACAAAGCTACAGTCATCAAAACAGTGTGGCACTGGCATAAGGACAGACATATGGATGTGGACTAGAATAGAGAGCCCCAAAATAAATCCTCACATATAAGCCCATTCAATGGGGAAAGGACAGTTTTTCTCAACTACTGTTACTAGTAAAACTGGATATCTATATGCAAAAGAATTAATTTGGACCTTACTTTACATCATATAAAAATATTTCAATCCAGGTCGGTATGGCTCAGGGGGTGAGCATCAACCCATGAACCAGAGGTCACCCTGGTTGGGGCACATGCCCATGTTGTGGGTTTGATCCCAGTGGGAGCATGCAGGAGGCTGATTGATGTTTCTGTCTCGTCGATGTTCCTATCTCTGTCCCTCTCCTTTCCTCTCTTTCTAAAATCAATAAAAACATATTTTTAAAAATATATTTCAAAATTGATCATAGACTTAAACATAAAAACTAAAAGTATAAGGTGGAGTCAAAGTATAAGGGGGCATCTGTAATAGAGTCAATGATTTAAAAGTGATTAAAAACTCTTAGAAAAGAGCAAAGGAAGAAATCTTAATGATATTAGAAGTGGTGATTTTCTTATATATGACAACAAAAGAAAAATAAATTAGACTTCATCAAAATAATAAAGAAAGCATCTAGGGCTCTTTCAAGAGAGTGGACGATCCACACAATGGGAGAAAATATTTGCAAATCATATACTTAGATAAGCCACCGATATTTAGAATATCTAAAGAACTTCTACAACTCAACAATACACCCAATTCAACATGGGCAAAGGATTTTTTAATTATATAAAACTTTTTGAGCTTTACTAAGATATTATTGACCAGTAAAATTGTAATATGTTTAAAGTGTACAACATGATGATTTGGTATACATATACATTGTAGAAAGATTCCCGCATTCAAGGTAATAAACACATCCATCACCTCACCTCACTATACTTACCTTCTTTTTTCTTTTTTGGTAAAAACATTTAAGTTCTTTTTTCTTAGCAAATTTTAATTGTTTACCATGTTATACATTAGACCCTACGACCTTTATTCATCTTATTACTGAGAGTTTGCACCCTTTACCACCCTCTCCCTATTTCCTCCACCACTCAGCCTGCACCATTCTTTTCTGTTTGTATGAGCTCAACTTTCTTTTTAATTTCACATATAAGTGATGCCATGCAGATTTGTCTTTTTCTATCTGGTTTATTTTACTTAGCACAATGCCCTCCACGTCCATGTCTGTTGTTGCAAAAGCGGGATTTCCTTCTTTTTTAAGGCTGAATAATATTCCACTGTCTATCTATACCAAATTTCCTTTATCCACTGATGCATCAAATGATATGATTCCATATATAAGATATTGCAAATAATGCTACAGCGAACATGGGCGTGCAGATACCTCTTTGAGATAGTGACTTCATTTCCTTCAGATATATACACAGAAGTGGAATTGCTAGGTCATGTGGTCATTCTATTTTTAATTTCTAGAGGAACTCCATACTGTTTTCCATAGTGGATACACCAATTTACATTCCACCAACAGTGTACAGGGTACCCTTTCCTCCAAGTCCTCACCAACACTTATTTTTTGTCTTTTTGCCAGTAGACATCCTAACAAGTGTGTAGTGGATATCTCAGTGTGGTTTTGATTTTCATTTCTCACATGATGAGTAATGTTGACTACATTTCCATTTACCTATTGGCCTTCTGTATATCTTCTTTGGAAAAATGTCTATTCAGGTCTTTTGCCCATTTCTTTAAAAATTGGGTTATTTGGGGGATTTTTGCTATTGAGTTCTTTATATATTTTGGACATTAACCCTTTATCATATATGTAGTTTCCAATTTTCCCCCCATTCCATAGGTTGCCTTTTCATTTTGTTGATGGTTTTCTTTGCTATGAATAACTTTTTAATTGGAGGTAGTCCCATTTATTTATTTTTGCTTTTGTTGACTTTGCTTTAGGTGTCACATTCAAAAAATCATTGCCAATACCAATGTCAATGAATTTAGGCCTATGTTTTCTAGGAGTTTATGGTTTCAGGATTACTTCCAAGTTTTTAATCCATTTTGAGTTGATTATTATGTATGGTGTAAGATAACGGTCCAATTTTATTCTTTTGTGTGTGGATATCTACTTTTCCTAACACCATTTATTGAAGATGCCATCATTTCTGCATTGTATGTTCTTTAGTCCTTTGTCAAAAATTGATTGACCATATATGCATGAATTAATTTCTGCTCTCTCTGTTCCATTCATCTATGGGTTAATTTTTCTATCACTACCACGCTGTTTTAATTACTATTGTTTGAAATTAATAAGTATAATGCCTTCAGCTTTGTTCTTTCTCAATTGCTTTGGCTATTCGAACTCTTCTGTAGTTTCATACAAATTTTCGAATTTTTCTTTTATATTTCTGTGAAAAATACTATTGGAATTTTGATAGGGATTGCATTGAACTTGTGGATTGCTTTGGGCACTATAAACATTTTAACAATGCTAATTCTTCTAACTCATGAACATGGAATATTTGTTATTTATTTGTGCCTTCTTCAATTTCTTTCATTAATAGTTTACAGTTTTTGATGCACAGGTCTTTTGCTTCCTTGTTTAAATTTCTTCTACATATTTATTGTTTTTGATGAAATTGTCAAGGGAATTGTTTTTTTAATCTCTCTTTCTAATAGTTGTTAATGTATAGAAATGTAGCTGCTTTTGTATATTGATTTTGTTTTCTGAAACTTTACTGAATTTGTTTATGTTCTAATAGCTTCTTGGTGGAGACAGTAGGGGTTTTTTTAATATATATGTCATGTGATCTTCAAATAAAGGCAAGTTTACTTCTTTCTTTCTGATTTCAATGCTGTTTGTTTGTTTGTTTGTTTATTTAACTTGCCTAATTGTTCTGGCTAGGTCTTCCAGTACTCTGTTGAATATAAGGGGAGGGAGTAGGTATCTTTGTCTTATTCCTGATCTTATAGGAAAAGCTTTCAGCTTTTCACCTTTGAGTGTGATGTTAGATGTGAGCTTGTCATATATGGCCTTGGTTATGTTGAGGCCTACTATAACCAGTTAGTTTGTTAATATTTTGTCAAGGAATTGTGCATTTATATTTGTTAGGGATATTGGCCTATAATTTTATTTTCTTGTTTACTTGTCTGGCTTTGGTATCGGTATAATGCTGGTCTCACAAAACAAGTTTGGAAATGTTCCCTGTACTTCTACTTTTTGGAAGAGTTTGAGAAGGGTTGCTGTTAATTCTTTAAAAGTTTGGTAAGATTCATGAGTAAAATCATCTAATTCTTTTATTTCTTGGGAGGTTTTAGATTTTTGAATCAAATGAAATTTTCTATTTCATTATGATTCAGTCTTGGTAGGTTGCGTGTTTCTAGAAAGTTGTGTCCTCTAGGTTATCTAATTTGTTGATATATAATTACTCATAGTAGTCTCATAATTTTTTATATTTCTGTGGTTTTAGTTGTAATGTCTCCACTTTCATTTCCTATTTGTCTTTTCTCTTCTTTTCTTAATTAGTCTAGCTAATGGTTTGTCAATTTTGTTTATTTTTTCAGAAAACCAGCTGTTCCCTTCATTAATCTTTCCTATTGTCTTTTTTTTGCTGTTTCATTTATTTACACTTTGGTCTTTACTACTTCCTTTCTTCTACTAACTTTGTGCTTAATTTGTTCTTCTTTTTCTAGTTTCTAGAAGTGTAAAGTTAGATTATTTGAGATCAGACTTTTCCTTAACACAGGTATTTATTGCTATGAACTTCCCTCTAAAACTACTTTGGTGCATTCCATCTACTTGATGTGTTGTATTTCCATCTTCATTTGTCTCAAGATACTCTTTGATTTTTTTTTAATCTATTGATTGTTCAGTAGCATGTAGTGTAATCTCCACACATTGGTGAATATTCCAGTTTTTTTTTCTTGTTTTATACCACTGTGGTCAGTAAAGATAGTTTATACGATTTTAGTATTTTTATATTTATTAAGACCTGTTTTGTGGCCTAACATTATCTATTCTGGAGAATATTTCATGTGTGCTTGAGGAGAATGTATATTCAGCTGTGGTAGGATCGAATGTAATGTAAATGTCTATTAAATTCTTCTGGTGTAACATGTAATTTAAGTCTAATGTTTTATTTTTGATTTTCTGTCTGGATTGCTCTACCATTATTGAAATTGGAGTATTGAAATCCCCTACTCTCATTATATTGCTGTTTATTTCTCCCTTCATAAGGTTATGTATTTAGGTGCTTCAATGTTGGCTTTATAAATATTTACAATTTTATATCTTCTTGATGAATAGACTCCCTTTCACTGTGTCTTGTTACAGGTTTTGGCTGAAAGTCTATTGTGTCTAAGTATAAATACACCTGCTTTATTTTGGTTTCCATTTGCATGAAAAGCCTTTCTCGAATCCTTCACTTTCAGTCTATGTGTCTTTAACAGTGAAGTGAAATATTGTAGGTAGCGGATAGTTGAGTCTTTTTTTAAAATTCATTCACTCTGTATTTTTTATTGGAGAATTTAGTCCACTTATATTTAAGTGTAATTCTTGATAGCTATGAACTTACTACTACCATTTTGTTAGTTGTTTCTTGCTGCTTTATAGACTTGTGTTTCTCTCTTCCTCTCTTTTTTTAAAAAAATATATTTTATTGCTTTTTTACAGAAAGGAAGGGAGAGGGATAGAGAGTTAGAAACATCGATGAGAGAGAAGCATCGATCAGCTGCCTCCCGCACACCCCCTACTGGGGATGTGCCCACAACCAAGGTACATGCCCTTGACCAGAATCGAACCTGGGACCCTTCAGTCTTCAGGCCAACGCTCTATCCAGTGAGCCAAACCGGCTAGGGCTCTCTCTTTCTCTCTTCCTTTGTGACTAGATGATTTTCTGTCGTGGTATGCTCTGATTCTTTCCTCTTCATCTTTTTGTATGTAGTATAGGTTTTTAGCTTTGTGGTTATCATGAGGTTTACACAAAACATCTTATAGTTATAGCAATCTATTTTAAGCTGATAACAAGGTAACTTTAAATACTTCAAACACATGTAAAAGTTCTACATTTTTACCCCCCTCCACATTATATACTACAATATTTTTATGTCACAATTTACATATTTTTATATTATGTATCAACAAATTATTATAAGTTCTACGTATTCTTATTACTTTGTCCTTTAACCTTCATACTAAAGTTGTAAGTAACTTACCCACCACCATTACAATTTTAGAATATTCTGATTTTAACTATATACTTTCCTTTAACAGTGAGTTTTATACTTTCACATATTTTTATGTTACTAAATTAGCACCCTTTTGTTTCATCTTAAAGAATTCCCTTTAACAATTCTTGTAAGGATGGTCTAGAGGTGATGAATTCAGCTTTGGTTTGTCTGAAATTATTTCTCTTTCAATTCTGAAGGACAAACACCGTCAGGTAGTATCTTGATTGACAGTTTTTATCTTTCAATACTTTAAATATATAATTCTACTTCATTCTGGCCTGCAAACTTTCTGCTGCATAATCTGCCGATATTCTTATGGGATTTCCCTTATAAGTAATGAGTTACTTTTCTTCTTTGTCTTTAAATTTTAACTTTTGAAGATTTAACCTTATGTGTCTCTGTGAGTCTCTTTAGATTCATCTTTTCTGGTATTTTTTGGGCTTTCTGGATATGGATTTCTGTTTGTGCCCTAGGTTGGACAAGTTTTCAGCCATTATTTCTTTGAATAAGCTTTATGCATTTTCCCCTCCTTCTGGGATCCCTAGTACATATATATTGGTCTGCTTGATGGTATCCCATTAAGTCTTTAAGCTAACTTAATTCTTTTCACTCTTTTTCCCCCTCTTTTTGCTTCTCTGGATGGATTCCACTGCCTTAACTTTGAGTTTGTTGATCCATTCTTTTGTTTGCTCTAGTCTGATATTGAACCCCTCTATTGAATTTTTTAGCTTAATTATTATATTCTTCAGCCCTATGAATTCTGTTTGATACACTTTTTTTGTATTTTTCTATCTCTTTGTTGAAATTCTCACTTTGCTCATGCATTGCTCCCCTGACCTCAGTGAGCACTTTTATCACCACTATCTCTGTTTCATTAAGATCAGTTTCTGGAGCCCAGACAGTGTTGCTCAGTGGTTGAGTGTCAACCTATGAAACAAGAGGTCATAGTTTGATTCCTGGTCAGGGCACCTGCCTGGGTTGCAGGCTTGATCCCCAGTGTGGGGTGTGCAGGAGGCAGCCAATCAATTATTCCCTCTCATTATTGATGTTTCTATCTCTCTCTCCCTTCCTCTCTGAGAATATATATATATATATATATATATATATATATATATATATATATATATGAGAGAGAGTCAGTTTCTGGAGATTTATCTTGTTATTGTTCGTTTGAAATGTATTTCCTTATTTCTTTATTTTTTCTTGACTGTTTTGGTTAATGTGCATTAGATGAAAAAGCCACCTCCCCCCTTATGTCAGACTGTCTCATATAGGAGATGAACGCTATCAATTAGCCCAGCTCAAGCTTCTGGTTCTCTTAAAACTGTAATTGTCCTAGCCACCGTAGTGACTCTTGGTGGCTCCCAAGACCTGTAGGTGTCTCAAAGGTGAGGATCATGGGCAAAACCTAGGTGCAGGCTGATTAGAAGCCAGATGCTCAGACAGCAGCTGGGAAAGTATGCAGTTTAGCACCTTTCAAGGAGAAACTGGGAGGTGGGTGTTTTGCCTGCTCCCTCTGCACAGAGACAGGGTGTATAGCCATGGTGATGGGTGTGGGGAGGGTGCTCTTGCACCATTTAAAAATTGCTTCTTTGTTTGCTATAGTCCTAAGGAGTCATGAATGCAAGACCTGTTGGCTAAAAGGGCCAGAAGAACTGGGAACCGGCCCTCCGGCAGCAGTCTCAAATGCTGCGGCACCAGGCATGTGTACAAGCAACTTCTAAAGAGATGTTGGTGACCGAGTGTTATAAATGCAGTGAGATAGAGACAGGAGGTGGTGGAAGTGCCTCCCAGCTCCCACAGGCTCCATGGAGGATCGTAGTTAGCTCCTAGATGCATGCAGATTAGAAAGCCAGAACCTTGGGTCGCAGGTTATAGAGTATGTAGTCAGACCCCTTCCCCAGAAAGACAGAAATATAGGTAGGTGTCTTTGCCTGAGCTCTGTGTGCTATGCCCTGAGCGGATAGCCACAGTGAGTACCAGCACATGTACCTGTTAAAAACTGCCTCTCTGTTCCTATGGGACTTGTCCACACAAGCCTGTTGGCTTTCAGAGCTAAGTGTTTTGAGGTCCTGTCCCTTGGGTGGGAGCCTTAGAAGCTGGAATCCTAGACATGCTGTCCAAACCCTTCACTCCTCAGGAGAAGCTGAGAATTGGATATATCATCCCAGTTGTATGGTATTGTGCAGAGAGTGTATTGGGTGGTGTGCCTCAGCCTTTCCTACCCATTTCAGTGTGGGGTTTTCTTGGTTGTCTGATGTGTGTGAGTCACTGAGCTAGCCTTTGGATTTCTCTCAGAGGAGATTACTACATGTATAGCTGTATATTCAGTGCATCTGTGGAAGGAGGGAAGTTCCGGGGCCTCCTGTGTCATCATCTTGGTCTCACACAAAGAATTGGCACATACATTGCTCTAAACAAGGTTATATAAGTGGTTAATAAGCACATGAAAAGAGACTCAATATTAATTGTTTTGAAAACGCAAGTCAAAACCACAATGAGGTACCACTTCACAGCCATTAGAATGGCTACTGTTAAAAGATGGAATATAACAAGTGTTTGTAGGGTGAGGATAAATTGGAAGTGTAGATCGCTGGTGGAAATGTAAAATGGTGTAACCACCATGGAAAACAGTGTGGCAATTTCTCAAAAATTAAAAATAGGATTTCCAGCTGATCAGCAATTGCACTTCTAGAGATATATACTCAAAAGAATTGAAAGCAGTGGCTCAAACATATTTGAACACCAATACTCATAGCAGCATTATTCACAATAGCCAACAGTAGAAACAACCCAATTTCATCAACAGATAAAGGATAAAGAAAATGTAATGTACACATACAATGGAATGTTATCCAGCTCAAAAAAAAGAATGAAATGATAAATCTTAGAAACTTTATGTCAAATGATATGAGGTATCTAGAAGAAGCAAATTCATACAGACACAAAGTACAATAGAGGTAACCAGGGACTGGGAGAAGGGGAGAGCAAGGAGTTATTTTTAGTGGATACAGAGTTTCTATTTGATATGATGACAAGTTCTGGAAATGGATAGTGATGGTTGCACAACATTGTGAATGTACTTAATGCTATTGGATTGTACATTTAAAAAGAGCTAAAATGGTAAATTTTGTATATATTACATTGCAACTTTAAAAATATAAAGCCATTGAAAAAATTTTAATTTATCTTTTGACTCAGAGAGTTTAGTTGCAAACCATTAATAGATGTAAATATGTCCTTATAGATAACCAGAACAACATTGCCAAATTTCTACAACACTGCCTGAAATGCTGTTTCTGGTGCTTGGAAAAAGTGGTAAAGTTTTTGAACAGAAATGCCTATGTTATGGTAAGTAGATTATTTTTATTTACTAAACTTCTTTGCAAACCCAAACCCCATGTCTACATTTCCATCTCTAAATCACTTTTAGATCATGCAATTAAATTTATCACATCTATATATATAAAAGCCTAAGCGACCGAAAGATGCGCACTAACCAACAGGGGGCAGATGCTCAATGCAGGAGCTGCCCCTTGGTGGTCAGTACACTCCCACAGCCAACCTTCTGTTGCCGGTCAGCCTCCCATGGTCCCTCCCCCTGGCTGACCTCTATCAGCCCCAATCCGACTGGGCGAGACAGCCCCCCCCCCCATCGGCCCTGATTACCAGCCAGGCTGAGGGACCCCACCCGTGCACGAATTCATGCACCAGGCCTCTAGTGTGGATATAAGAATTTGTGATTCTTATATGTGATTCTTATTTGTGAGCCTATGTGATTCAGGGCAATGTTTTCCTAGTTGAGATAGAAATTAGCTGCACTTCATTATCACCTTCAACATCTCTTTGGAGAGGGAAAATATTTATCTTGGAAATTTTAAAATGTGCTAGATTGAAAATGATTTTGTGTGTCTTTGATATAGTTTATTGAGAAGAAAGCTTAGTCTATGTTTCACTCTGAGAAGAAAAGATCTTTCTAATTTTGTGATTTATATATTTTAAAGGAAGGGTCTGTTCCTTTTTTGGGTGAATCTTATGTTGAGATATGTGGCAGTGCCTAAATAAATTTGTTTATTTCCTGGGGGAATATGGAGGCTTCTAAAGAAATTTTTAAATATAGGGGATCCAAAAATAAAATTATTTTAAAATTTAGCAACTACAGTCTAATGACACTTCCTTATTCTCACAGTGACAAAGGGTCTGCAGCAAAGCTTCAAGTAGTCATGGAGATTCAAGTAGTCATCAATATACTTCCAGGGAGAATGTTGTATTGAGGCTTTTCATCAGTCAATCAAGTGTGTGATTGATTTGAAAGGCACTGGGCTTCTGAGAGTAATTTTTGTTGTTGTTAATCCTTACCCAAGGATATTTTTCCATTGATTTTTAGAGAGAGTGGAAGGAAGGGGGAGAGACAGAGAGAGAGAGAAACATCAATGTGAGAGACACATTGATTGGTTGCCTCCTGCACACTGCAACCAGGGCTGAGGATCCTGCAACCAAAGTATGTGCCTTTGACAGGAATTGAACCTGGGACCCTTCAGTCCAGGGGCCAATGCTCTATCCACTGAGCCAAATCGGTGAGGGCTCTGAGAGTAATTTTTAATATGATCTCTACAACATTTACCCCATTTAGCAATAAACCCCAGCCAAACACTTCAAAGACAGAAACCATTTCCCGAGATTTGAGAAAACTGTTTGAAGTTGTCTAATCCCCATAGAGTTTAATGGAATATGTAGCATCTGAAGCAGACCTTATTGTCAACAAGCCTGGAGTTGTGCAGAGCTGAGGACACATAGTTCCCATGCCTCCCACAAACCCAAATGTTGGAAAGAGAAATGAGAGTACATGGCTGTATGGGTGACAGAGAATTGATTCATTTTCCTGTTATTGGATTGTCTCTTGGTCTTATCAGGATTACTGACTCCAGAATAATAACTGTCTTCCCCAGATTGCAATATATGGCAAGAACTTCTGCAGGTCTGCAAAAGATGCTTTCGATCTGCTGATAAGAAATATTTTAAAGTAAGTAATCAGGTTGAACATGGCAATCGATTTGCTGAACCTTGAGCATCACATACTTCACATGTTACTAAAGTGTTGGCAGTCATCTTAAACATGAATATCGTCTTTTAATTTGATAGATTTAAATCTTCTCTGTCACATCAATCATTTATTTTTATATCTTAGAATTGTTGCTGCCATCACTCACCGATGTCTTTACACCCACTGGCATTTATTTAGTTTTATTCCCTCTTTTTAAGAAATCCCTCACATGGACATTATCATCATGTCTCTGGCCATTTCCCTCTCCCAAAATTGATAGTCTGAGTGAACAAAATCAGAGAACCAAAGCAGCATCCTTTGGATTCAGGGTGTCTAGGCCAGGGGTGGGCAAACTTTTTGACTTGAGGGCCACAATGGGTTCTTAAACTGGACTGGAGGGCCGGAACAAAAGCATGGATGAAGTGTTTGTGTGAACTAATATAAATTCAAAGTAAACATCATTACATAAAAGGGTACGGTCTTTTTTTTTTTTTTAGTTTTATTCATTTCAAACGGGCCGGATCCAGCCCGCGGGCCATAGTTTGCCCACGGCTAGTCTAGGCCATGAGTTAGACAGGGAGGCTGACACCGCCAATAGCACCCAACAGCCCTACCATGTCATCTTCTGTTTACTTCATTAAAAATGAGTCAGGAATTCGTCCCAGAACTTCAATTCTTGCATTTAACAAATGCCAAAGTTACAGCAAATATGCATCAAAATGAACTAATGAATTATTTATTCTCATAAATTTCAAGTAATGCATGTAAACACAAAATTATGCTTTGTTTTTTTTCCCGATTCTTAGAGTTGCAGTTTTGGATAAAGTTACAGACTTTGTACTCGTCCTGGGGAAAATACTAGTTTCTGGGTGTATAGGTAAGTAATAATAATAAAAAGTTTACAAGGTGCTTAGAGAAACTACTACAAAAGCTATATTCCTTTGCAAATGCATAATATATATGTTCTGCCTTTTCATTGTAGGTGTCCTGGCATTTTTACTCTTCACACAGAGAATCTCAATAATTATAGAAGGACCAACATCTTTAAATTACTACTGGGTACCTTTGCTGGTAAGTGCTGGTGTCTTAGTCCAGGTGCTGTAGCAAAATACTATCCACCGGGTGGCTTAAACAACAGGAATTTATTTCTCACATACTGAAGGCAGAGAAGTCCAAGGTCAAGGTGCCCACAGGTTAGGTTCCTGATGGTGGCTCTCTTCCTGGTTTGCAAAGGGACACCTCCTTGCTGTATCCTAACGTGGTGGAGAGAGATGGTATCTCTCCTGCCTCCTCTTATAAGGGCACTAATCTTATTCAAGAGGGCTCCACCCTTAGAACCTAATTACCTCTCAAATGCTCCACCTCCAAATACCATCATATTGGGGATTAGGTTTCAACATATGAATTTTGAGGAAACACAATGTATTCCATAGTAACTAAGTATTATTGACTCTGGTTTATCAGAGATAGCAAAAAAAAAAAGTTCAAAAAGGAATATGAGAGATCATCATAGCTAACATTATTGCTCTTACTTTGTGCCAAGCCTGCTTTAAAGGTTGGGTTCCTTGGAAACAAACTCTGAGACAGAGGCTTGCACATGAAAGGTCTATCAGGAAGTGTTCTCCTGAGATACACTTTTAAGGAAGTGAGGAGGGCAGTCCTGGCAAAGGAAGGAGCTGACCCAAGTTGCAGTGACAGCTGAGGCCTTAGGCATAATAACGGAATTTCTGACAAAGGGACTGAGCTTCTGTATGTTGCCCCTGGGTGGGGCTGTAGCCTTGGCTGAGGCAGTTCTCTGCAAGGAGGGCAATTTATACCGAAGGAAGCAGCCTACATTCCCCAAGACTGGGGGGCAGATGTGCAGCTGTAAGGGACCTGGGTGGAGTCCTCTGGCATCTATTACAATATATTAACTCACTCAGTTCGTGTGTCATAAATACTATTATTATTCACATTCTCCCCTCTCCCACCTACACTTTTATAGAGGAGGCACAGACAGGTTAAGTAACGTGTTGAAGAAACACCTGAGCTGTGATCAAACCTAAGCAGTGTGTGCTCTTAACTCCTATGCTTTCCTGCCTCTGTGCACAGAATCCTAAATATGGGATATATTTGGTAGGCATTGAGGATAGTGGTAAGAAAATTGGCAGGTGATCTAGTACATTTTGTTCAAATCCCAGTACAGAGCACTCAAAAACATTATCATTGAATATTTTTTGGTCTCTATATTGAAATCTTCCTCAACACAGAGCACTTCCAAGCTCTCTCATGGTGACTTTCATTAAAGCTGCGTTATTGTCCTGCTAGACGAGTTAATGACATCGTCATTCTCTCCTTTCCTCATTTACAGACAGTCATTGCTGGATCTTACCTAGTTGCACACGGGTTCTTCAGCGTCTATGCAATGTGTATTGATACAATTTTCATCTGCTTCTGTAAGTTTTCAGAATATGTGTTTCCCCCCTTCGGTGGATAACCAAGGGACGAGGATAGATCCATGCCCATAGCTGGCTTGTAGGTTTGCTATGACCAGGCTGTAATCGCAAATCTGTTTATTTGGAAAGAGACATTGTTGAGTGGATGCTCTTGAAACCTTAATGGCCGAGGGAATGCAGTTTGCAAAGCACAGAAGAGTCAGCTACTAAAATGAACCACAGGCTTCATGGCATGGTGTTAACATATTTCCTAATGTTTTAAAATTTATAATAACGATTGGCTTCTGTGGTGCTTTATTAACAGAACTGAAGACATGACTGGGCTCTGGAAACTCTTTGAGGAGAGCCTTTATAGATTCTGATAAAGCCAAGCTGGCACTGGTTTCAAAGACACATGGGGACCAGTTCACATTAGGTAACACAGTGACAAATGGGGAGGATTCATAGAGGAGCATGTCCAGGAAATGGCTAGATCAATTCTGATGCTTACAGTTAAAATACGTGCTTCTTTAGAGCTTTCATCACTGACTTCCTGACTGTGCCTGTGTGACATGTGTAAGATGCATACACGAAATGGATATGTTTTCCATTAGCATTTCATGTTAAAAGTCCTGGAGAACCTAGAGCCCATCAGGAGCTTGATCTGGCTCTCACCTTCCATCTAGGGCAAGGAGGGTCAGCAGGTGAGAGCAGAACTCGTTAGCCCTACAGCTGGACCCTCTGAGAGATTATTTCTCTGGCACATTGCTCTTAAGAAAAGTAGAGAAAACATTCCATAACAGGGCATTACTGAGTAATCCACTCCCCTTGTGTAAAACTAAATTTGTTTTTTTAAAATATATATTTTATTGATTTTTTACAGAGAGGAAGGGAGAGGGATAGAAAGTTAGAAACATTGATGAGAGAGAAACATCAATCAGCTGCCTCCTGCATACCTCCTACTGGGGATGTGCCTGCAACCAAGGTACATGCCCTTGACCGGAATTGAACCTGGGACCTTTCAGTCCACAGGCCGACGCTCTATCCACTGAGCCAAACCGATTACGGCATAAATTTGTTTTTAATATAATCCATAAGTATCAACTTCACACTGAGGTCAGGAGAGAAGATAATAATCTCAGGGAGAAATAGTCAAGGCAAATTGCCTATAAAATGGCTTGACCTTGTTTTTGTTTAGTTTTTCTTTCTGAACATTTAAAAATCAATTTTTAGTAACCGAACAAAGAAGTCAGGGGGACTTTGTGTACCAGTAGCTCTTGTTCTGGCTGTAAATGGAACTGGAATGTTTAACATTTTCCTAGTACCCCAGTGGTTTGTTAGGAAAAACCACCTGAACAAATCTCACACCTGAGCTGGAATGAGAAGCGTGGGGTAAGGTAGTGCCTAAGACAGAGTAGAGAACTCTCAAATGTTCCAAGATCTCTTCGTTCATCTCAGACACTAAACATGGGGACAGTTCTGGGGGCTCTCACTGGGATAGTCCCCGTTCTTGTAACTAAAAATGTTTCTCAAAATATATCTCAGGAAATGTCTAGAACCTACTCTTTCCCAGTCTTTGGAAGCTTTGGCAAATCTTGTGCATTTTAATTTTTACAATGGATTTTAAATTTAAGCAATGAGAAATGTTTTCTACCCTTTTATATTAATAATTGCTAGCTTCTTGAAAACCAGGTGTACTTTTAGCTCTATTCAATATGTTGTGTGTTGAACATGAATTGTTTCCTTTCAGGGACTCTCACTTTTGATAATAAAGAACAACGAAAGCAAATTGTATTTCTCTTCCCTTCCCAGCTGTTACCATGGGCAACATCTTACTTTGGCAAACATTCTTCTTACATGATACTCTAAGCCAAATTATGACTCTGTAGAGCTGTAGCTTTTATTTTTTATAAATCTTTTTTTTACCTAATATCTTGACTACCAGTAAAACTGGTGTTATAAGACATGCGAACCATTTGCAAACACTTCATTTACAGAAATATGACATCTTTTTAACATTACAGGGCACTGAGAATTTTGATCCCAGGGTGGGAAAAAAGAATAGTTGTAGATGATTATTAAAATGATCCATGCCAGGCTTCCTACCAAGACCTCAAGGGTGATGACAGTAACATATGATTTGTGATATATGGTACAGAAATATGATTAAGGAAGAACAAAAATGTTCGGTGTCTCTCATGTTTCCTCCTTAGATTTTCATGTTGTGTGTGAGGAAAATCACTGTGAGGTTTAATGCAGAAATCTAAACAAGCCATCCACCATTTCTAAAAGACTCTGATGAAAAATAATTTAGATTTATTCCACAAACTATGATCATATGGTTTTGTATACTATTACTTATCCTTTATGTTATAATAAATAAAGGCTATAAATAACAAATCTTTTACAATGTATTAGTCAAAACCTAGAATCAAATTGCATTTATATATTTATTGATAGATATTATCTGTTATGAATTGTATGTACCTGTAGGAAACTTAATTCTCAGCATCCTTCTGGTACTTCCCCCCAACCACCCAACAGTGAACTCCCCATCTCTTTATTATAAGCCTAGACAAAGCAGCAAGGTAAATTCATGTATTACGGAAGTTAGAAAACACTAGTATTTACTTTTAAATGTAATCTGAGACAGGCTGCAAGGATTTAGGACAGGATGCCTTATAGAAGTAAATGTCAGAAGGTTGGGTCCCTTGGCTAGGTGGATAGAGAGTTGGCCTGCGGACTGAAGGGTCCCAGGTTCGATTCCGGTCAAGGGCATGTACCTTGGTTTCGGGCACATCCCCAGTAGGAGGTGTGCAGGAGGCAGCTGGTCAATGTTTCTCTCTCATCGATGTTTCTAATTCTCTGTCCCTCTCCCTTCCTCTCTGTAAAAAATCAATAAAAATATATTTTTTTAAAACAAGAAGGTTGGGTCCTCACCTCATCCTGATTGCCCGAGAGCTTTTTTATTTTTTAAAATATATTTTTATTGATTTCAGAGAGGAAGGGAGAGGGAGAGAGATAGAAACATCAATGAGAAAGAATCATTGATTGGCTGCCTCCTGCAGGCCCCCTACTGGGGATCAAGCCCGCAACCCAGGCATGTGCCCTGCCCTGGAATGGAACTGTGACCTCCTGGTTCATAGGACAACGCTCAACCACTGAGCCACTGTGCTGGGCGCCTGAGAGCTTTCGACTTTAGGAGGATCATTTTACATCCCTGGGTCTCAGTTTCTTCATGTGTAACATTAGGGTCTGGACTACCATTAAAAGTGGCTTGGAACTTTGAAATTCAATTACTGTTCTACATTTATCACAGGAATAATACACCTTTTATTCAGCTTTATCTCAGAGGAGGTGGCAATTAAGCTTTCTGAAAGGAGCAGCCACAGAATTTAAAGATGATGCTCTCGAGAGGACATGACAGATTTTGTTTACCTTTAAACCATCAACATAACCTTGTTGGGGGTGGGCGGGGCTTAGGAAGTGTCACGCTTCCTGGCGGAGGCTGATGCTTCTTCCTTTGTGCAGCACCGCAACTGGACTGCCCTCGTTTGTCTTGCATTTGCCTTTCTAACGCTGATTTCTCTGATTTCTCCCTGTTCGACTCTCCAATTTATAAAAATGCGTCGAATTGTTCCGCCGCTGCTGGCTGCCTTTGCCTGCGTTGGCTGCTGCACATCCAGGTGAAGATCTGGAAAGAAATGACGGATCTACAGAAAAGCCCTACTTCATAGCCCCCGCCCTGCACGGCATTCTGAACAAGAGGCATCTCGTTCCCCAGAAGCAGAAAGAGTAGAAAAGCTCCAAACAGGGCCGCTCGCTTTTAAAGTAGTTTTGTGAATTCGGTCATTTGTAATGAGAAAATGATGCTGTTGCGTCATGTAGAATTTCTGTGCTGGTTTCTAAAAAGCCAGACCCTGGTACCACCTGAGGTGCCGGGCCTTCCATCACAGTAGCCTCCGTGGACCGGGATACGTTCTGGACTGACTGTGGTCCCTGCTGAAGGGCAGTGAATGGCATACTTTGTTCTCCTGGAGTCTATCGCCGAATGTGTTCTAAAGCTTTTATAACTCGGCGTGCTGTTTCTCATGGCAGCACTTTAATAGCCTTTCTTATGATACATGTTCAGGCAATTCTTGAAAGTGCTATAAATGTATCATGGATTAGCCATAAAAAGATTGATTTATAGTTAACCAGCATATGGGACTGAATTTGTAAATATGGTGCTATGGTCATATTTGTACTGTTCAAGCTAGTGGACAACTCTCTAAACTGTGATTACACTTGTATTAATGGTTCCCTAGGAAGTATATTTCAGTGGGTGATTCACGCTCATAATAAACATGTGGATGTTAATGCTATACAGGTCCCATAGAGAGCGTTACTAGGTAAAAATGACTGTGGAACCTTCACAGCCCGCTTCGTTTTAGTGATATTGCATTTATAGTGAAGTTGAATCTGAGTTCTGGAATGTTCATTTTTAATGAACCTCTGGCCACCATGAAAGTATCCTAAACAAAACTGAAATGGCCACATAACTTATTGTCTTTTGTCTCAACCTAAAGAGAGACAAATTCCTATTTTCCTATTCCTACCATATAAAAAATTGGTATGGATTTGTTTCAGAAGAGTGATGAAACCTTTTTGTGAGTTTACCTGTTTTCCTAGATTGAAGAGATTGGCTTTGTTCTGCAAAAGGTTTGATTTTAGCCCAACTTTCAGTGCGGAAAGAGAAAAGATAAGTCACTTTGCATTTCCCCCTAAGGAAATACGCTATTAGTCCTCCAGAGAGCCCTCATCAGGCACCTTCATAAGAGGACATACTATGGGTTAGAAAAGCTGTCCCTTGAGGCCTGAGGAGGAAAGTTACTGCCGTATTCCACCCCTGCTGGCCATCACAACAGGCCAGTTTCTGGCAGCCATGCCTGAGGCTTTTGCATGGCAGAGCAAAGCATGAGTCAGACATTCATGCACTTTGCTTACCCATCCTGTGTGCAAGTGCATAGGATACAACTAACAGTGTAAAAATGTACCCCAAAAGGAGCATTGAATCAAATTGCATCCTTTTGGCTTTTACTAGTACGCTAAGCTTGTATAGAAGGATAATAATTGATGGAAAAGAACACGTTGATCTAACATTTTTATCTGATTATGATCCATATATCCAAGAGAGTATCATTATGTTACAGACTACTATAAATACTAATTTATGTAATGATCCTAAAGTGTAAGTGGAAACCTACACTTAGACTGACTTCATGGCAGTAATAGCAAGAAGCCAATGAATAGGGAAGATATTCAAAATATTGGCCCTTGCAATGGCTTAGTTTGAGATTATTGTAGTCAAAAGTGTCACTTGGCTTCATAACTCGATAAGGGGCTTTCTTCACGCTTGTTCTCCTTGAAGTGTAATTCAAAGAAGAATGACAAGCTGTCTTCCTCGGTGGTTATTATTATTATTTTACTATTCAACAATACAGGGGTTATAACATCTAGTAATATAGTTCCCTCTGTCTTAAGTGTTGAAAATTATAAGGAATAAGTCCACTTCAGGAGTAGTCAAAAAGTTCATAATGATGAAACAAGACAACTTTTAATTTTTGTATGTATCAGAATCACGTGATAACTTGTTATAAATATAGATGCTTGTGCCTCACCCTAAGAGATTCTGATATATTGCGCTTGGGTGTAGGGCATCCTGTGAATTATTACAAAGTTTTCTAGTTGATTCTGATGCACGTAAAAGTTTTAAAATCACTTGAATAAAATATAAATCAATGTGTGAGAAGCTAGTTGCCTATTTTCTCCTTATATTTGTGACTGTTCTAAGAGTTAGAATATTGAGAGGCAAAGAGGATTAATTTGGAGACTTCTAACAATGGTAGATTTTTCTATAGTGTAGATTCACAGTGCTGTATTATATGTTTAACATTATATCTACTGATTAGGCCAGAAAATTGTCTAGAGTAAACTTGGCACAAAATCATAAAAAAGGGAATGCCATTTGATTCAATATTTCTAAATAATTTATTTAGAGCTTAAGTTTTAGCTATATTATAGGCTTATTACTAGTTAGAAAATTGTTCTCCATTAATAACTTCTTTGTGTAATTGAAACATATTAGGGTAAAAATGAGCATTGTTTTTGAGGAATAAAATTTAGAAGTCACTTTTTTTTACAAAGAAAAACTAATTGAAAAACAGCAATATTTCTCAAAATTTGCAATTTAAGGATTTGAAATATTCTAAAATTTATTAATCTTATTTCTTAAAACTATACTATCTGAATTGTTTATGGCCAAAATAAATTTTGAACAAATGTGGTCATTTAGAAATAAAATTGAGAACATAGTACTTTTTTAGGAATTTGAAGGTGAATTTAGGTAATCCTGGTGAATCTTTTAGGTTTTTTGTCTTTAAGTTTGCTGTCCAAAAGAAGGTAAACCTGATTCCCTCAGTCATGCAGCTGAGAGGCATAGACTATTGGCAGAACCTCACCTGGTACACAGAATGAGATAATATCTTACCGATGTACTAACAAGGGCTGATTGTTTTCTCATAGTTATGTTTACAATAATGTTGATGCCAAACTATGCTGTTAAAAAACACACACACCACAAATACATTTTTGAACTGTGGTTAAGCAAGAATGCAGCAGATGGCGCTGTTACTTCTCTTACAGTTTTGCTTTGATATTTACTCTGTGCCATTCTTCCTCCTAGTGGAAGATTTAGAAAGAAACGATGGTTCCACTGAAAAACCCTATTACATGAATCGCTCTCTGATGAAGATTATGAAGGTGAAAAGTACACAAAGTACGAAGCAGTAGCGGTGCAGACCGATCACCTGCAGCGGTGTGTACCCCTTTCCTCATCTGCTGTGTCTGATTCACAAGCCTCTGTGTTTGGAACACTGTATTCACCACCTTGTTGGCTCTTATATGCATGTTTTATACCAAAGCTTATACTGTAATATGTGAAGCCATCAGATGTCGCAAGGGAATTGTTAGTAACATGGAACATTTTTATACTGAGACCTTTTGTTTTGTAATTCATTTTTAAATAGAGTGGCTTCGATGTTTTCGAAAATACTAGTGACTATGTTAGTATTCTTTTAAATATTAGATTGAAAAATGATACATGGTTTAAACTGAGAGCTCCTAATGTATATTTTTTAAATCATAACTAAAAGACTTCTGCAGGGAAAATTGGTAAACAAAGCAAAATAGAAAATTTTAAAGTTTCCCCACTCCTGCTTGGCAGTAAATGGGTAAAAGACCGCCCAGCTCCAGATTTTGCTTGAAGTGTAGAATGTTTCCTATTAAACAAATTGCCAACCATCCAGCCTTTACTACTTCGTCCTCTCTGACAAAGTGCCTTACTGGCTGTTTAATATTACCCAGCTTTTGTGGGCAAGTTTACAAACATTGTTTTTAAAAAAACAAAACACCTGCAATGTTTAGTGATTAAAACAAGTCTTCTTGCATTTGTTTTCCTCTTAGCTCACTGGTTGGAAACCATTTGTCATTTCAGTGTGTTTAATATCCTCGCTCTACAGAGTGCATTGCAGCATAAACAGATCCCTTTGCGCCTAGTGGACATTCATGAATGTGTACACGCAAGAAAAAAAATCTCAAATCTGAAAGGACACTTGTTGTGTTTCTTTTTTTACTAAAAGTGAGAAGTTTAAAAATGTAATCTTTTCTATAGTAGATCTTTGAAAATACAGTAGGTGTAACAATACATTTCTCAGTGTTTTACACAGACTAAAAAGGGAAACTTTGAGAAATTATAAAGGAAAACTTTACCCCAAGAAAGGGTGCTACCAGATGTCATGTATTGAATAGTTCCTTTATAAATGATTGTTTATTATCGTCAAGGAGTGTTCTATGTATGTTATTTTATTTTTAAACTTTTGATATGAAATAATCAGTTTACTTATAAGATATTCATTTTTATTGTGCTAATGTAAATAGGAGCATACTTTCTAATTCAATTTTAAATGACTTTCCTAGTACTCTTAACTTGAAACAAAATGAATGCTGTTTGTTATAGAGAGTCCATAAAGCATTCACCGTAAAGCAATGTCAGTCTCACATGATAATTTGTGAAAGTTTTGAGAATCAACAGTAAGTTACTATCAGTTTATCTATGATCACAGGTGTTTAAATGTGACTTTAGATAATCTTTTATGCCAAAAACAAACTCACATGAGCACGTGACAGTCTGAGCTCTATAATCAATGGGTTTCTGCTATGCAGAAATATTAGGTCCATGTTGTCTAAATACCTTTGATAATGAAAATATTTAATATTTAATGAAATTTGTTGTTACTCATGGTTTGAAATCTGTTTTTTTTCTTCTAATAAAGATTTAGATAAGAAAAAAAACTGGCTGCCTTCTTATTTCTTTAAGCTAGAAAAGGAAATGTCGGGGGTTTTTAACATCTAGATTTATTGTTTTTAAAAACTCCATTTTTCTCTAGCTGTGCATTGATTGCCAAATCAAATAACTGAAAAATGATAATTTATACAAAATAAATAAATAAAAGCTAAATGGATAAGAGATGGATTGTTTTAATCCAATGGCCGAAATTAGTTAGTTGGTCTTTGTCTTAATTTGCCACAGGTTTACTCAGGCCCTCATTTGGTGTTTCCAACATTCATAAGAAGTAAATCTCATAATTTTAAAGACAGGGGTCAATTTCAACAACCTAAAAAATGTTAACATTAATTAATGATAGTTTTCCAAGGTAAGATTAAATGTCCCAATCCCTGGTTAATCTTAACATTTTTCTTAGGTCCAGATATACCTTAATAAATGTATGAGCCTATTTTTAAATTGAATTATATATTAAATCTTCAAAGTAATTTTTCTTTAAAATGTAATAGGTTTCTTTAAATAAAACCATAAAACAATGTTCATGCTATTTCCAGTGTTCTTTTTTAATGTCCTAACTTTAATAAGATGCTAGCTAATATAGCTAATGATTCCTTTCTACTTAAAATAAAAAAATAGTTTGGTATCCAGAAGAAATTCAAATTCTGCTTTAGATCTTAGTTTTAGATCATAAAGCCACTGACTATACTTGTAAATAAATTGCTTGAAATTGGACTCTGATTTGATTTTTCTGTGTGCCCAGAAAGCTTAAAAAGAGTTTGTGAATCACACAGTGGAATCACACTATGCAAGGTTCTGTAGGACCATCAGGCATAATCTGTTTAAACTCATATTGGAAAACAGGCCCTGCGCAACAATTCCTTATTTTCCTTTTACTACAAAGCTGACCAGCACTCATTCCAATGTATGTTCTTTCACTTTTACAAGTGGTGCCTCAGGAAATTGCTCTTGAACTCTAACCAGGCATAGTAATTATCTCCAGTATTATCTGGTTCTGGACTGGGGAACATGCTTTATGAATCAGTCTTTGTTGGCATAAGATATGGGACAAAATTGAACTAAAATCATTATTGCAGACCATGGTATATGGAATGGTATCCTGACATTTTTTTCCAGTTTCTTGCAAGTTATCCTGTGAAGTTTGCAAAATTTTTAAAAAATACAGCTCTGTGATCATAAGAATACAATTTAATAAAAAGAAATATCTGACCAATATAGCAGGAATAAATTACTTTTCCAAAGATACTTTCCATGTACCATGTTTTTAGTCTTGGGGCTTAAGTGGGTATTGAAGATCTCTCTCAGGACCTAGCTGAGTTCCTTCTGGTCCTCACCCAGAAAACAAAGCCAACACCCATGAAAAACAATGCGAAACCACCCTATATAATAAAAGCGTAACATGATAAGTATCCGACCAGTCAACCTTAAGCCCACTGCTCGACCAGTTGCTATGACGCACACTCACCACCAGGGGGCAGATGCTCAGACCAGTAGGTTAGCTTGCTGCTGGGGTCTGGCTGATAGGGACTGGGCAAGAGGGCCAGACGTGCCCTGGAGCCCTTCTGAGGTCCCTCCCTGGCCAGCCAGCCCTGATAGGCCCCAATCAGGGCTGGCAGGCCAACCTCCCACAGTCCCTCCCCAGCCAGCCTGCCCGCATCGGCCCAGATCAGGACTGGGTGAGATGCCCCCAATCGGCCCTGATCACCGGCCAGGCAGAGGGACCCCATCGGTGCATGAATTTGTGCACCAGGCCTCAGGTTCATTTATGAGAACTCAGTGCCACCTTATGCAAGGCTTGGACATAGGGATGATGTCACAGTCACGGACCTTAAAATTTATCAGGACATATTGAACCTCCCTCTCCTCCATTTACAACTTTCCAATTGCTTGGAATGAAACAATATGGAATCTGGCTATATTTTCTCTAATGGTTTCTGTGCTGCTAAGCATGGGGACAATGTGACACATTTCAAAGCAACCAATTCAAGTTTACTATTTGAAGTCACTAGCTTTTTTTTTAAATGCCTTGGCTCTTTTTTCCAGTTCTTTAAACATATACTGTAGGATTGAGAATAGCTTAAGTAAGTGGAGAAAACTATCTTCTGCCCTTCTACTGCTGGCCCCAAAACATGGGCATCTTCATATTCTGGGCTTTTGCTGTTAAAAAGCAGTGTGTTAACAAGGGTGGGAGAAACTTATCAAACAAAAATATGTTTCCAATTTGCATATCAATTAAAGTGAGTCTGGACTTGATTCGTTGGGAGATTAACCTTGAAATCTCCACATTCTTCCAGCCAGATGGATGTATGTTGCTACATGTGTGTCTGCAGGACACAGAAAGGAGAAAATGAAGGTAAAATATTGGGAAAGCAGTGGAATCCAAGAAAAGAACAGAAAAAAGCTAAGAGTATATTTTTTAAAATCTTTAGTGGGATCCAAGAGGTCAACATTACAGAAATTAGGGTGCCTTCTGAAAGCACTTCATAAACCTATAGAAAAAGAAACTCAAGAGCAGATGAGAAGCCAGTAATTAAACAAAAATATTTTTTCCTTTTTTTGGTAAACAGCATTGAAGCAGACTGTGTTACAATAAAATTGATCACATAGATGTATTTAGCCCAAACAAACGAAAAAGAATGGTGCCCCAACATGATTTATGATTAAGGAATTTAAAAACATCTGCCTTTTTTTCTCATTCCTTTTGCATGAAAGCCAAAACTTTGCTGTCATGATGAGCTGGTGTATTTCTCTCTTTTTCCTCTCAACTGTAAGACAGATTGGACTCCCTTTCAGACTCTCTCACTTCCTTTACTCCAATTCAGTCTCTTCCTTCATCTCATTTTCCCTTGCCTATAAGAAACTGATGCTCTAATAAGATATTTGTTTTTATTTTATTTTTATTGAATTTATTGGGGTGACATTGGTTAATAAAATTATATAAATTTCAGGTGTACAGTTCTCTAATATATCATCTGTATATTGTATTGCGTGTTCACTACCCCAAGTCAAGTCCCCTTCCATCACCATTTATTCCTCCTTTACACTCATCTACCTCCTCCTACTCCCCCTTCTCCTCTGGTAATCACCATACTGTTGTCTATAGCTATGAGTTTTGGGATTTTTTTTTGCTTAATCCCTTCACCTTTTCACCCAGCCCCCCAATCCTCTTCCCCTCTGACAGCTATCAGTCTGTTCCCTGTTTCTATGAATCTGTTTTTATTTTGTTTGTTAGTTTATTTTATTCATTAAATTCCACATATAAGTGAAATCATATGATACTGGTCTTTCTTCACTTAGCATAATACTCTCCAGGTCCATTCATGCTGTCCCAAAGGGTAAGATTTCCTCCTTTTTTTTTTTTATGACCGAGTAGTAGTCCATTGTGTAAGCATACCACTGCGTTTTATACACTCATCTACTAATGGGTACT